AAAAATAGAGCCCATAACAGTCATAAAGTATGTGTAAAGCTTTTCTCAAAACCATCCTATTTTGAGGGGATAGATTAAATCCAGTAATATTTGTTAGTAACTTTAATCAAGTTTATGACTTGTCTTAAATAGTTTTTTAATCTGTAAATTTTTAGTGGACTCCTAAAGATAACATTTCTCACTAGCACAATAGAGACAACTCATGTTCTGAAGCATCTTCAATATTAATAAGTCATGCTCTTTATGTTTTAGTCCAGAATATTTTGTTTCCTTAAAGGAAGGGGAGAGGAGGGAAAGAGTAGGCATGTCTATAGCTTCATTCTTCACAGTGGAGAGATAAGGAATGTTGTCAGAACTGGTAAGAGCATTATATTTATATATATTGTTTGTACTTCTCTTTTGCAATGTAAGCATCTATAAAAAAGTATAAAGAATGATATACCATTCATTTACCTTCCACTTAGTTTAAACAATAAAACATTGCTAATTTGATCATGTTATTTGAAGTCAAAAGATAACTCTTGAAGAAATGATAAGGACACTGTAACAAACAGCCATGGTAGATCCAGCTTGACCTTCTGTGTGGTCACCCAGTGCCTAGTCCTGCTTGTTAAAAAGCACATTCATACATCTATGATTTAAGATGCCGCCTTTACCAAGTATTCTGTTTCTGGATGTTTTCTGATCTAATTCTAGACTTTTCATTCCATGACACTAATCTTCCGTCTGCCATGCTGCATTGTTTTAGATATAGTCTTCCATTTCTAATCTGGAGGGCTAGCATCCCTAATTACTTTGTTTCTGAGTTTTCCTGATTATTTGAGTCTATAAGCATTAGAATCAACTTGTCTAGTTCCATCAAAAAAGAAAATTGGAAGTGTCCCATGCCCTAAGTGTCCCTGAAGTCCCAGGTCTTCTGCGGTCTAGTTCAGTGATCTTCCATACATGCTACTGTTCCACCTTCCTTCTTACTACGTTAGAAGGCATCCTGAGAAGCGAAAACATTATTTTTAATATTGCTGTCAAACAAAGATTTTCTTTAGTTGGCCACTCTTGGAATTTTGTTCCATAGGGGATTTTTGATTGGGTTTTAATTTTTATGTTTGTAGTTCAGGCCATAAGAGGTTCTTTTCAAAATGGAAACAAAAAATTGGTATGTGAAATGTACTGAAGTGCTTGCATTTGCTATTTTGGCTTTGTTTTATAACCTTTGGTACAAGAGTTGGCATTTGTGGAAGCTGAAAATGTTGCCTCCTGCCCTGTGAGACATTTCTAGCTACCATTCTTAACACACAGGTTCACACCTGCCATCGTGCACAGCATGGCTATTTTCTACTGTGAGACATTTTCTGTGTCCTTTTTAAAGAATTTTAATATGTAAGAGCAGAAAAGCAGGCAAACTATAAGAATTAGGTAAGCTATAGTACAGCTAGGCTTCCTCCTGCGTCTCAGTACTGACTTTCGTTGTCATTACAGTTTATTCTTCCTGATCCCAGATATCAGAGAGTCAGCCTTCTTAAGCAAACCAATTATTGATTGGTTATGTTTAAGAATTAAATTAGCTTTCTGTGTGCCTTCTGCCTATTTTTAATTATACTTTTTATTTTGTGGTAATATAGATTCATACGTAATTGTAGGAGATAATACTTATATGAACATAAACCTTCATTTCACCGGGATATATGCCCAGGAATGCAGTTGTGAAGTCTCGTGGTAGTTGTGTGTTTAGTTTTTAAGAAACAACCAAACTGCTTTCCAGAGTGGCTATCCCATTTTACATTCCTGCCAGCAACCAGTTCCTCCACATCCTTATTGGCTTTTGGGGTTCTCACTGTTTTTAATGTAGCCATTATCAGAGATGTGGCATCTGATGGTAGTTTTATGTTGCATTTCCCTAATGGCCAGTGAGATGGAACATCTTTTCATGTGTTTATTTTCCATCCATATATTCTCTTCAATGAAATGTCTCTTCATGTCTTTTGCCCATTTTCTAATTGGATTATTTGGTTTTTTGTTGACTTTTGAGAATTTCTTATATATTCTATTTGTTGGATATGTGGTTTTCACATATTTTCTCCCAGAATGTATCTTATTTTTAAATTTTTTTAAACAGGGTCCTTTGCAGAGCAAAAGTTTTTAATTTCCAAGTTATCCATTTTTTCTTTTATGGACTTATGCTTTTGGTATCAAGCCTAAAAGCTCTTTGCTTAGTGCTAGATCCTGAGGATATTCTCCTATAACTTTTTTAAGCTTCTATAGTTTTATATTTTGCATTTAAACCCATAAATCCATTTCAGATTAATTTTTGAATAAGGCATGAGACTTGGACTGAGGTTCATTTTTTTTTGCCTGTGGCTCTCTCATTGCTCCAACAAAACTGCTTCTCCTTTACCGAGTTGCTTTTGTACCTTTGTCCAAAATCAGTTGAACATATTGTATGGGTCTATTCCTGGGTTATCTCGTGATCTCCTTGCCTATCCTGTGCCAGCACTATCTCATCCTGATGACTATGGCTATATAGAAAGTGCTGAAATCAGCTAGACTGATTCCTCCCACTTCATTCTTCTTTCTATGACGCTGTTTGAAGATCTTTCTTAGATAATTCTAACTCCTCTGTCATCTCTATGTTGGCATCTGTTGATTGTCTTTTTTCATTCAGTTTGGGATCCTCTGGCTGTTGGTATGACAAGTGATTTATTTAGTTTTTTTATTTTTATTTTTTTCTCTTTTAATTTTTATTTTAAAATTATGGGGTACAATTCAGGATTAGGTATACAAATGTTCACTGTGAAAGTACCCTTATTGATGAGGTGTGCCCCCCAGGTGGATATCGACTACCATCAATCCCAGCTATATCCCTCCATCCCCTCCCCACAGTGACAAGTGATGTTTTTATTGGCACCTATTAGTGGGATATTATGAGACTTTAAATCTTACTCTAGCCTTCTGTTTTAGCTGACTTTTTAATTTGCCATTCTGTTAAAGGAAGAATGATGCCGCCTCATTACAGCCAGGTGGGAGACAAATCCAAGCTGTGCCTTCCTGCTGTGAAGGGGCCTCTGGAGTCCACACGGTTTGGCTTTGTTACCACCGGGTGGGGTAAGAGCCCAGTCTCCCTGAGTACCTCCCATGACTGCGAATTACAGCATAGGAAGGGAAAGGCTGACAGAGCCTTTCGGGGATGACAGCTCTGGCTCCCCATTCAACCTTGTCTGGCGTCACCCTAACGAGGGGGCTCTGGGTCCTTCTTAAAGTCTGGCATAGGTAGTGTGTGGCTAAGGATTTTCTGTGGTGGTTGACTGGAGTAGAGGGATTCTTGTCCAAAACGTTTTCTGTCTTGCTGGGCTGCCCCTTTTCTGGTTCTGCCCCTTTTCTGGCCAGAGTGTGTCTGTGCCTGTGATGTGTCTGGGTTCCAGCTTCTTCAGCTTCAAGCTTCAGAGAGGAGACAACAGGAAGGAAGACACTTGAATTCTCTGATGATGTCTTGGCTCCTAGTCTAGACCACAACTCAATCACTTTTCATTAAAACTTTCTATAACAGAAATAAAAAAGTATATCCAAATGCAGGCTTGTACAATGAACCCCACATGCCCATCAGCCAGCACAAAGTTACCAACGGGGGCCCATGCTTGGTTTTGTCCACACCACATCTTCTTTTTCCACCACGTTGAGTTCTCAAGGAAATCTCAGATATTATCCTTTTATCTGTAATTACTTCAGTTTATATAACAAAAGGATAACTACCACTTCAGTACCTAAAATGATAATTCCTTGATATAATCAGCTCTCCAGGCAATATTCACATTTGAATTTCTCAATTGCAGAAGCTGGCTGATTCATTTTAGGTTCTTGTATTCAGCACTGTGCTTTGCACATACTAGAGTCTCAGGAAATGTATCTTGAAGTAATAAATGTAAAATAATAATGCTTTTAAAATGACCTAGAAAACTTTGTTGAATAAAGGATTCTAAATAGGAGCTCATTTAACTTTTAGCAACAAATTTGCTGGAAATATAGTGAGTTAAGTTATCAGCAAGTGATTGTCATGCATGCTATATATGTTAGATACATGATGTTTGAGATATAGGTGAGATATATGTGTTTTAGTACATTTTAGTCACCATTTTCCTAAGAGTAATGAATTTGCCTTTTAGAGACTTATCATATATATTTTATCTGTATACAAAACAACATATGGTTACAAAATTTTCAAATCTTCTTTCTCCTCAGTTGGCAATTTGATGGGATTATTTATTATAGGTCATATATTAGTACAATCTTACAAAGTATATCTAAAATATTTCAGAAGAGGAAACTCTTTTTTAATAATCAGAAATTGGAATAATTATTTTTTGAGGATTTCCTGTGGTTTTTCCTGCCAACAAAAGAATAAGTTATACATGACTAAGAAATTAGTTTGAATTTTAACAATGATATGAGTTTAGTTCATATGTGAGACATTATTCAAGATGAGAGAGAAATAGCTAAGTGAGACGCTTTGGGTGCTGGTCCTAAACGAGGGTCTTCTCAGGGCAGAGATCTGATGGCAGGTAGGTTAGAGCCCTTTGTGAACTCTGTTGCCGACTGTCGTGGTGTGTTCCACCTTCAGTCCGTCCCTCAGAAGAGATCTTTCTGAGGCACAGGTGTCACCACCTTTGCCCTGATTCAGATCTGCTCATGGCTCTCTGTTCCCCAAAATCAAGCCCACCCTTCTCAGAATGGCACAAAGCTGCTGGACACCAACCCCTAAGCCATCCTTGCTAGGACCCTGCACCCCATTGTCCCTCCATGCAGGAGAGTCTGTGCCAGGAGTTCTGTATTCTGCTGGACCCTACCAAGGAGGAGTGTACTACCTCAGATGGCAGACCCAACTTCTCCAATAAGACATAGTTCTTATTTTGTGATTTAAAAAAAAATCGTAATCATTTCCCTAGTGTATAACTTACCTCATATTACTCATATCATGGACAAACTAAATGCTATTTTCTGCTGTCTTTCAGACAGAAACAATCTCCGCCAGTCAAGAAATCCTCAAAAATATTTGGCCATGGATATAGAAGATGAAGAAAACATGAGTAAGATCTAGGCCTATCACATAGTATCAAATAACTAATTTTCTGTTAAAATGTTGGTGGATTGTAAATTTATGCAATAGGACCAATTTGGGAAAAGTGGTTTTTCTTGTGATATATGCAACTGAGAGTGGAATTTTTTTTTAAATTTGTGATATATTCTCTACAATAGGTGTCAATATCACTGTGGACATTTTTCCTGCAGCTGTATGTCTAGGTTTTTCCTTCCTCGTTATCATCATGGGGTCATCGCTTTCATCCCTGGAATGTGCCTCTGGGTGCTTATCTCATGAAGCCACATGGTTTGATGTGGAGCCCTGTCACAGCGTGGCTTTCAGAATAATGCTCTGAATTTTTATCCATGCAGAGCAAAGATAACCTCTGAGATTAAGTACCTGGTCATTTGGAATAACAGTACAGAAATATCTCTCTTCAGATCCAGTGGATCTTCCCTAATTTTGAGGGAAGGGGTTCACATGCGTCTGTTGATCTTGAGTTTACAGAGACATTATGAAACTTGGGGCTGATGTGACCAGAACTCACTATGGGGCCCTTTCTCCTGCCATGCTGTCCTCATTGGGCTGGGAGTGAAGGGCCTTAGGGGTGTACCAACTTTTCCTCTCAGCATTGTTCTCTATGAAAAGTTCATTCAAAGTTCTTTTCTCTTCTAGTGTATCTTCAATCCTAGCTAGCAGTATGTTTAAACAAGGTTTCAATGCTTCCACAGAAGTTGGGAAAGCTTGGTAGGGAGATTACAACAAAAACATCACTTTTCTAACTGATCAAATGTATGTGCTTACATTCTTGCTTATAGCTCTAAATGATGAGTAACAAGTTACTGAGAGTGGTTATTGATCATTACAACTTAGCACATTTCCCTGTAACTTCATACAAAACTCATCAACTGAGGTCTTGGAGTGGCTTGTGTCTACTATGCAGAACCGACGCAGTAGTTCTGTGGAACATGTCTGCATTGCATTGTATTGTATTGCTGCTCTGTGGGTTTGCTGTAGATACTGTGAAGGGGACTGGGCATCAATTTTGTAGACTATATGGTACATGTTCTCTTTGACTGAAATCAGCTGTTCAGGCTGTGAGGGTAAGACTACCCCCTAAAGTGTGTCTGGGATCACCTGACTGGTGCCCCCTTGCTTTGCTGTCATGTTGCTACCCTTGGCTGCTGGCGGTTGTTTTTTTCAGGTTGGTTTCCTCATCGATCCTGCTCTTGAGATCTTTTAAAACCCAGTCTTATGTTTTGCCTGAGCAGTTCCTTTCGCCATTTTCAATTTTGCCACAGTTTTAAAGAGAGAGATTATGCTCACATGCCTCATTTTAGAAGAGGGGACCATCGCTGGCCCTTCAGTGTCCCACCCAAGGAGTGCATACAGGCACCTAGGCCTCTGTTGGGGCTGTGGCCTGTAGCCTGTCCCCTGGTATGGGCAGAAGCATCAAGGTTGTGTAGATTCTAGAACTCTCCCCCAACTGACCCTGAGATAACATGATAAAGAATCTTCCTGAGTACTTTTTCTGGGGAAAAAAGAAAGCTGCTCATAACTTTGAGATGCCAGTCCTGTGTTTTCTTTCATTCTGAAAGCAATGTGAAGTTTTATCATGATTGATATTCACATTTCTGGAATGCAGCAGCATGATATGTAAAGAGAAAGCATGTGTTTAAAAAGAGCCAGTAGTGGGGAAGGCTGTCTCTAATTTTAATGTTTTATTCTCTATATAGCAACACCTTAATAGATGGAATGTGAGCAGTATTTCAGTGCTTCTGAAGTGAATAAGAATTTAGAATATATGTGATCTGTGCTATAGGAAGTATATTTTTATTATCTCAAGATTATTTGTCAGTCCAATGTTAATTATTTTTACTTCTGAAAGGAAAGCATTGGTTGTTTCAGAGGTTGTAAATATTTGATTAAATGTATGTCAGAATATACTTACAATGATTTTATTTTCTAAATTGATAATTGTTTAGCAACAAAGCCAAAATGTAAGCAGAAGTATAGTATGTCATGTTCTTGCACCACTTATTAATCTCCAAATTCCATCTTGGCTCTACTTTTTTTTAACCTTTTGTTCCCTTTGAGCACCGAAAGGAGTAACCTATCGAGCTTTTGCTGGAGGATGTTATAAATGAAAATTTAGTGTCCATTCCAATCAGCTTTGTCAACTGGGAGAAGTGGTGTGTGTAAGGAGCACTTTGGAAATGATATCTGAAGAGAAAGTTTATAAATCTCCTAATCCCTGCCACAGTGCAGCATCAGTTTTCTCATGGGTTGTATCTAAACCAGGGTTATTCCTCACTGCCTCGCTTGAATGGCAATAACCCTGGAATCAGAGATCTTTAACCACAAAGGTTGGCAGCTGAGGGCTGGACCAACCCTTCCCATGGGTGGAGCTGATGAACATTCTTACAACTTTTCAGTTTGCCTAACGTAATGATAATCTACTTTCATGTTATGTAGTGGAAACAGACACTAAAGCCACCATATTGGGGCACTTGTAAATTGGCTTACAATTTTAGAAAGTAGTTTGGTTACTTGAAAGATTTGTTGTGGATTTCCGAAAGCTAGCGGTAGAGGTCTTTCGGTACATTCACATCACAACTTTGCAAAGCCTGTGGGCTTCACCCTTGGGCTTCATGTGACAGGTGCAAATACAATAGCTGTGACAGAAAGAAATTCTCTCTCTTCTCTTTTTTATAAAGCTATATAAACTTAAAGGGAGTTATGAACACTTTCTGTTCCCATTTAAAAAATGGAAATTGCGTTTATTTTGCCATGCACTTTTAGAATTTTAAAATTATCTTTATCAATTTTCAATCTAAGGTACTTTTAAAAGGTAGGATAAGCAAACGATTCTAGAAATTCATCAGATAATTATTTTTTAAAAAGACAAAATCACCAGATAGTATATCTATGAAGTTAGAAAGCTATAGCCTGCCTGCAGCTTCAATTTTATATCTTATCCTTTCATATTTTTCCTACTATGGAATGTATTAAGAATTCAGATTTAATCAGTTCCCATATATAATTTAAAATTTTTAAATGAGTACTAGAAATAAAGCAATATCCTTTAAAAATAGTATCTAAAAAGCCATAATACTTTATACAGTTATATAAGCAGTTTTCTAAGATTGATTCATAAACTAAATCAAATAACTGCATATATGGGTTGATTATTTTAAACCTGAAAAACTAATTAGCTTGTGAATGCATGTTTTTAAATAATGTTTTCTCTTCTGAGAGATGCTGCAATTTAAAACCCATAGATAATGTGAGGGTAAATGACTGAAAGGAGAAAAATGCTAAAATAAGATGTACATTTGCCTATATGCCAATATTAAATTGCCATTTCACTAGACTTATTAATGTAAGGTCTTCCTGGATTAACTAATCATCCCACATTTTGATAAGCTTGAAAAAGTATCTCTTGATGCTTCAGAATATTCTCAGTAGAAAAATATTATTTAAAGATTTTAATGTAAAAGCAATTGATAACACTAAGTAGAAATGGCATTAGCCATTATTTAGCAAATTGTCAAAAAAATTACTTTCAGTTGAGGATGATAGTTCTTTGGCTAAATGTGTGGTTCTCCATCTATGTATCAGAAATAAAATGTATAAGCACACATCACTTAACCAGTTACAAAGAGAGATAAAGGAATCTATAAATTTTGCATTTACAAGATCCTGCAACGAAGGCATTGTAAGTTACTCTTTCTGGGCACCGCAGGTTCCAGCAGCACTGATGTTAAAGAAAACCGCAATCTGGACAACGTGCCCCCCAAGGATGGCAGCACACCAGGGCCTGGCGAGGGGGCCCCACTCTCCAATGGGGGTGGCGGTGGCCCCAGCAGGAAGCGGTCCCTGGAGGAGGGCAGCAATGGCCACTCCAAGTACCGCCTGAAGAAGAGGAGGAAAATGCCAGGACCTGTCTTACCCAAGAATGCCCTGATGCAGCTGAATGAAATCAAGCCCGGGTTACAATACACGCTTCTGTCCCAGACTGGACCCGTGCACGCGCCTTTGTTTGTCATGTCTGTGGAAGTGAATGGGCAGGTTTTTGAGGGCTCTGGCCCTACAAAGAAAAAGGCGAAACTTCATGCTGCTGAGAAGGCCCTAAGGTCTTTTGTTCAGTTTCCCAACGCCTCCGAGGCCCACCTGGCCATGGGGAGGACCCTATCTGTCAACACGGACTTCACGTCTGACCAGGCTGACTTCCCTGACACACTCTTCAATGGCTTCGAGACCCCTGACAAGGCAGAGCCGTCCTTTTATGTGGGCTCCAACGGGGATGACTCCTTCAGCTCTAGTGGGGACCTCAGCCTGTCGGCGTCCCCAGTGCCTATCAACTTTGCCCAGCCTCCCCTTCCCATTCTCCCACCATTCCCACCCCCGAGCGGGAAGAATCCCGTGATGATCTTGAATGAGCTGCGCCCAGGACTGAAGTACGACTTTCTTTCTGAGAGTGGGGAAAGCCACGCCAAGAGTTTCGTCATGTCCGTGGTTGTAGATGGGCAGTTCTTCGAAGGTTCGGGGAGAAACAAGAAGCTTGCCAAGGCCCGGGCTGCACAGTCTGCCTTGGCCACTGTTTTTAATTTGCACTTGGACCAGACGCCATCTCGCCAGCCTATTCCCAGCGAGGGTCTTCAGTTGCATTTACCACAGGTGAGGAGCATATGCTGCTGCCTTAATGCGTGTGGCCTTTGCTCTTGATAACACTTTTAAACAGCCTCTGATTTTCATGATTACAGTTCCTTTCCATCTAAAGTCACTCTCTCCTCACCAGGAGTAGTTCCCAGTAAGTCTGGCTGCTGGGGCAGCCTTTCGTTGATTGTGATGGCCATGAGGTGCCTGAGAAGGTGCCCCTAGGCCTCCCAGTGCACACTAAGTGTGTGCTGGGCAGGGATGTCCAAGGCCCATCCATAACTTCCTTCCCGTTAGGCATTCCCTCATGACCCTCATCCCACGGCAAGCCTTTATCCAGAGAGAGGGGAGAGTGAGCCTGAACGCTGAAACTTTGTCCCTTCAAAGACCTCATCTAGGACTCTCATGTACAGGATGGGTGAGGCCAGCCCAGCAGCAGCTGTAAACCACGTCTGGGTCAGGGGGCAGCCTCTGAGCTCTAGCATCACTGGCTGGTAGCTGTCCTAGGCTGAGAAACCATCTAAGCAGAGAGTGAACCAGAGCATCAGTGAGCATGTGTCACAGGGTGAAGCCTTCAACTGGCATTCTAGGGCCTGCAGGTGCTGAGGGCCTCTGTGCTTCTAACTTCCTGCGTGGGATCTATGTTGGCATCACCTCTGCTCAGGCTGAGGGGCAGCCATTCTTCAGTATGGTCTTAACCCACCCTACCCAATGAAATCAGGGAAGAAAGGGAAGGTTTCAGGTTAGGCTTCGATCGGCGTATATGAAAGGAAGAGTAAAGGAGAAAATAGCATTTAGTTCTCATCCTAAATCCACCCACTCTCTGATGATATGTTGATTCTTTTCCTGAAGATCCAAAATCTGCTGACCTATTGTAAAAAGTATTCTTTTGACTCTCTTTGTGTTAGAATATTCCTCACTTTGGAGATAACTTGTATACCATATTTGACCCAATAAATGAAGGCCTCAGCATTGACTGAGAAGACGGCTTGTGTGTTACACTCTTTGCCTTTCGATGCAATTAGAATAACCTTTTGTAATTGCAGTCTGAGATTGCCCATTGTTCTCAGTTTTAAAACAAGGAATTTTATTTTATTTTGCCTAAAGCCACCAAAAATAATACCAGTATAAAGTAATATGTTTAAAGTAGTTGACTGATTTTTTTAATGAATCAATTACTTGCTTCCCTTATTAACCTCTTGTTAACATGTTCATAAGAATTATTAGTTTATTTGTAATTTTACAAATCAGTGGCACTCCATCCCATGTGACTTCTTATATTCAGGGATACTGTTTACCAAAATATTTCAGCCTAAATTCAGTATATTGTCTGGTGTGATTTGTCTTCCCTTAGTGCTGACAGAGTTGCACACAAGATCTTTGAAATTGCATCCAGTGCTGTAAGTCCCAGATGTGTAGTTTGGGAGCACCTCAGTGAAAGCAGATAGAAGTGCTGGTGTTGAGGCCAGCCTGCCTCCCTAGCTTGGCATGTGTCTGCAACGATTTGGGAAGGCTGTGGGGTCATTCATTGGAATTTGGCCTGCATGGGGTGCAGGTGGACAGGGGCCATCTCAGGCCCCCCCCCCCAGGCCCCCTTTTTCTAAATTCTACAGGTGTCAAGCATCAGTTTCTTGATTCTGTGTCCAGAACCACAAGGGCTGAGTGGATGGAGCTGTGCATCCCCAGTCTCTGCCACGGTAGCCCCTGCTACCCTGTGTCTTTGTCCCTTCAAAGACCTCATCTGTGTCTTTGTCCTTCCAAACCCTGGGTGCTATCCTAGAGTCACTCTGGAAGGATTAGATTAAACATCCTGTTCTGAAGGTGTTTTGCCTTCATGGCATTCCTGGTGGCATAAGGGAATTATGGAAACAGACATACTAACCTTGTGCTGATGGCAGCGCACTCTTTTTTTTTTTTTTTTT